TTTTGACCCTGTTTTGAAATATAAACAAGTAGGCGGAGCTTAATCAAACACGCTTGACAATTAGTTAAAGCGGCAATCCCTCTATTTATTAGGGATTGCTCGCAGTCTAAATACATTGGTATCGAAAGAACTAGATTCTGTTCCGAAATATCACTTACTCGAACCGTCCTGACCGCGTAGCTCAGTTGGAAGAGCATTGGGCTAGTATTCCAAAGGTCTTAGGTTCGAATCCCACCGTGGCCGGGCATATTTTCCAAGCTCGCCCGGTGTGGATGTACACTCAGAGTAACACCACAAATATCATATTCACCTGAGTACACTACACCAACACAGAAAAAAAAATTCATAATATTGTTATTAGTATTTATTTTTAAAAACGTACCGGTACTTGAATCCCTTGATCATCGATTATTTCTTCTCTCGAAGTTCGGATTCATTATCTTGACGTTACAAGAACAACCTACTTACGGAACACATTGTGTAAAAATACCCTTCGAGTGAGTGTTTCTTGTAAAAACATACGAAAAATCAATCGTTTATTGAATCTACTACATCAGTTGTGAAGATATGTCCAAAAAGACATAGAATCTGAAAAAAAAATTCGAAAACACAAATAAATTGTGAATTTTAAGGCATTTAGAAATGTCATCTAGAAATGTCATCTAGTCGATGTTTCAACCCTTTAGTTTAATTCTCCCTTCTTTCGCCGCCTTCGTCTCTTTTCGCGCCTGTGTCCTTACTTGTCAGCGATCATCTATATATCGTGAAATGTCATGTAGAGTGATAGTATAATGACTCCAAGCAGTTTTAAATGTTTACAGAACTTCGAGAGAAGAAATAATTGATTACAGTATCAAGGGATTCAAGTAGGTTTAATTTTAAAAATAAATACAATATTATTTCAATTATAGCTCATAGTGGGGCCCCCTGTGTAATGGGTTGAGAAAAAAATTTCTAAACCTAAATTTTGCAGATATTGGTCTTGTTTTAACCAGAATTTGTGTTGAAAAAATTTTTTTGAACTCTAACATAACTAATGTTAGTCGGGAAAAATTTTTTTGACCCTTTTTTTAATGTCCGGAAAAAATATTTTTGATAGGCCCTGATTGTAGTTAGTTTCATGTGTACGACCACATCAGCTATGCTGTAAATTTACCATTGTGTTAAAAGTATCATTGAACTTGATATTCTTTTTGAAATACCCTCACTTGTTGGTCTTCCATGAACGGGAAATACAGAAGACATGATTATCCATCTACTTTATAAAATGAGAAGACTTCCTAAAATAATTGGTTAAGATAAAACACACACCCAAATCTCAATCAATGATCTATTAAGTTGAATAACATATTCCAACCATGAAAAATATGACATCGTCTAAGAATAGTGCAGATTGATAAGGATACGCTTCGGATGTCAATCTTTTGTCACTAAAGTGGCTAATAAAATGGTGGAATACAAAGCAATCATTGAAAACATTTTAGCGGGCAAAGCATCACGGTTGACGTATTGTTTAAAGTCACATTTAAAAAAATAATCTGATCCCAATCATAACCCCAGCCCTAACCTCTAACCCACGAAGGTTGAGGAGAGTTAAAACTGGTTGGGGAAAAAGTTTTTAAAAAATTCTAAAACAAACTTGAAATTAATGACACAAAGTGGAATCGCGATCCCACCCCTAGGACGTTTCAGCCCCATGGTTTAGCTGCTGAGCTAACTATTAAACAAGCTCACTGAAATTCATTGCAAAATAACCTTTTTATATTGCTAAAATAATATCTGAGTTATTTTTTATTATGAATACTAATGACTGTGGGACATCTAGAGTTTTTTTGCCAAGAATGTACATGCATGGGCAGATTTACTGGGGGGGGGGGGGTTAGAGGGGTAAACCCCCCTAGAATTTCTCTAACCTCTCTAATAAAGTGTTCAACCCCACCAAAATTTTGCTTCACCCATCCTATTTTGTATGAAAGACTTTAACCCAAATACCCTGAGTGGTGCCGCTTGCACCCCACCAGAAATTTTTCTACCCCTCCTTTTAAATAAATTTATGAAAATCAGCCTTTGTTTACATGTACGAGAAAATGAGCTTAAATTCTGTTATGTGAGTCAAGTAAATGCTAGTCTTTTCATTCCATCCTAGAAATGCAATCGCTCAATCAATCATTACTACTGTAAACCAAGCCACTTAGGCAATTATGATAAAATTGATTGCCATTGGGCATTTGAAGATCAGGCAATACTTGGGTTAGAGTTAGCTACCTTTTTAAGTGCGTCTGCCGGTTGAGAAACATAAAATAATAGTTAAAAATTGCCAATTAAAATACAATTATCAATGATGCCTTAAAATTGACGCTATATTTACAGCCATTTAAGCAAAATGTACTGAACTTCAGACATCATTTTCTCTCTGGCGTATCATCTAAAATCTCTTCATTTTAGCATTATTTTACAGATAAAGCACTAAACATACTTTTTAAGGGGTTTTTTACCGATTGAGAAACGTATCGAAAAATAAAAATTTTGATTTTAGTCATAATCTCATGTGGTCTATTATACGCATTAGTTTTGAGCGCGTGTTACGTAACATACAAAAAATCTCATTTAAAGATTTGGGAACAATGCTATACCAAGGCAGCATTCACTACCCTGTGGGTAAACTAGTACGTATGATAACATACCTAACATATATATGTTGGGAAATTAATAATTTTGTAATTAAAAGTGACATTTTTAGGCGATTTTTTATTTGTAAGAATATTCTTAAAAAATTATCGTGTTACCATGACAACTACTTTGGATACTTCATGTTCGGAAAATACAATGGTTTCTCAGCAAGGCGGGGGTTTCTGCATGCATGTATTTTCTAGTTTTATACATTGAACTTGCTACGAACTTGGTCCTGCGTTCGTTCAGTGGCTTCCATCCAAGTTCATTCAGAGCAAGTTCAGACTGGCCATGTTCGTTTACATGTTGCTGCTTAAATTAACGGAAAAACATCTAATGTCTTATAATGAAAACTTTATTAAATAGTAAATAGTATTTAGCTTATATATACACTTGCAAATCTCACTTATTCAAGGTAATTAACAACTAATTGCTACTTAAATCACTGATTATATATTATACATGCAAATAACGATAGTAAAGTTAACAAAATGACAGTAGAACATTTAAAGAGTTGACAGTTCTGGATTCATTCATTCCTTGTTTCGACAACAAAATATATAATATGTTGCTCGGATTGCAATCGTCGTCATTCTTTGAATACAGAAATTAATAATAACATTAATAATAATAATAATAGAAGCTACAATCCGTGGAAGAAAATACATCTATATAAGCAGGCAAATAACAGTCAGGGGCTTTACAAACACATTCCTGGAAAGAAACTTGTTTTTGAATCTATCAGTTCTACATTTAAAATAGCTAAAATGTCTGGTGTGTCGCAGCTTTCTTCCGTCGGAGGCAGGAGATGGAATAGGCACGATGATAGTTATGAAATTTTGTCGCACACGTTTCTGCAAAGTGTTATACTGACATGCAGTATCACACTGAGTTAATCAGTGGAAATTAAGTGATAAATTTTGAAAGCCTGATTCACAGTTGGGGTGGTGGGATTTCCCAATTTGCATTTGAACTCCCCGGCGAACTGCACTTGGCACCATGAGTCGGCACATGACTTGGCACATGTTATGCTTTGTAGCATGAAACCGAACCCAAGACTCAGCGCGCGCTATTTCTGAGTTGTTAGCCTTGGTTATTGCATAATGTCTTAGAAACCAAACTCGCAATCTCTATTGCTATACCAGACTATTCAGGTTATCAAATTAAAATGCATAATTTTACATACTTTTTAATTCTAGGTATTATTAGCAGCCATAAGATGGATAAAACATGATATAGAAAGTCGAAGGCATTCATTGTGCCGTTTATTGTCTCATATTCGTTTGCCTTTTGTTTCTCCTGGTTTTGTTCAGTCTTTATGTAAATCCACAGACCCAAATGATGCAATGTTACTCCAACTGATTTCTGATATCTGCACGGTAAGTAAGACATTTTATTAGCTAAATAGTTAAGAATTTTCCTACTATACCGTATAACTTGTAGACATCAGAAAGTTGGGATAAAAATGCCCACCGCTTGTGTGCTAATCTGCATATATGAAACACACAATAGTCTTCAGTTTGAAACAGAATGCGCATATATAGAGTAAAAATATTTAATGCTGGGTGGGGTGGATAATCCAGGTAAGCATATATATACAGCTGATTCAATTAAGGTTGTCCTTCCAAAACCTTAAACCTTTAACTCTGAGCGCGCAAGGGATAATGGGTTCTCACTTATTAGTCCCTTAAACTCAGGAAATTGCCTTTGCAGCAAGTATGTTTTCTGTCGTGAGTCTTCTATATGTCTCAGGTATTCTTGCAAAGCCAAATTTCAAAATTTATGAGTCTAAATAAGCAATAACCCATCATCCCTTGCGCGCTCAGAATTTAAGGTTTAAGTATTTGGAAGGACAACCTTAATTGAATTAGCTGTATACACTATTTAAGATCCTACAAGGAACGGTTGCGAAAAATGCGAAACTGGGTCCTTTGGCAAGAATTGAACCTGCGGCCCTGCGATTCCGGTACAGCGCTCTAACCAACTGAGCTACAGAGGCCAGTTGTCAAGCTGTAACTGCAAGTTCATGTTTTTCTAATTTTTCGGGATAGATTTGCGGTTTGGATGTCCGCACACCCGAAAATCTATATATACATGAATTTGAGGTTACAGCTCGACAACTGGACTCTGTAGCTCAGTTTATTAGAGCGCCACACCGGAATTGCAGGGGCGTAGGTTCGATTCCTGCCAGATGTCCTAGTGTTGCATTTTTCGCAACCATTCCTGGTTAGGTCTAACCTAGATGAAAGTCTAACCTTATAGATATGCCTGCGGAACACGCTAGCATTAAGTAGTACGCTCTATACAATTTAGGGCAAAACGATTTCGACAACTCGCATGCAGACATTGACCTCTCATGGCTTTTCTCGAAATAAAGGTCTTTTTCGCTCCCCCAACTCGATGTTACATGAATGGAATTGTTAATCAAATGTGAAGTGTCCATTATATGCAACATTGAAGAGGAAGAGGGGTGTAACTTCCAGTTTTAACTTTTCTTGTGTTTTTTCTTTCAAAAATTGGGTTAAGAATCCTCATGCATTGTCGTAGTTAACGACTGTCCAATCAGATTACTTTCCACAACTCTGTGAAAAATCCACTTGACGTCGAAATCGTTAATCCGAATCACTGACGTTCCTTCGTGCCATCGAGAGTAAATGTCTGCACACAGTCTAATTATTCATTTGTATAGAGTCGTTGTTCTCGGGCAGTACACGTAAAGAAACGATCTCCATTGGGTCCTCAAGTAATGTATATTGTTGGTGGTTATCTAAGACAATCGTTAAGGGTTGTGGAATGTTATTACCCACGTCATAATTCTTGGAGTTTACTCAAATCTTTACAGCAGCCTAGGAGTGGTGCTGGTGCAGCTTTTGTTGGTAAGTAACTGGAAATACTAGAGTCGGTCATAAAGTTTTAAGTTAGTGGTATAGTGTGTATAATGTTCTCTTATTTAATAGACTTCTTGATATCTCGGCTACATGTAAACAACTCAATATATAATGTCCATATTCTAAATATAAACTAATCGTAATACGTGCGTTAATGATTAATAGACGTACATTACTATACCATTCCCTTTGTTTTAACTTGATTGTCAAATATCAAAGTGTTTAATTAAATTTCAAGTTATTTAGCTATTTCATTGTTATGTTAGTTTATTAGATTTGATGGATATTCATGTCCATATCGATTCGGTGGTCTTCGAATTCGGCTTGATCTTCTTGGTACTTCGTTGTTTTCATTACTGATGGATGGCTGATTGTTCTGCGAGTTTTCTTCATAATCGAAACCTTCACCATCAGTGTCTTCTTCTCGTGGTTTATTTATTCGCTTGAAATGTGACACGTTCCGTTTCACAATATGACCATCTTTACTTTGGGCAAGTATCTCTGAACCAGTTTTCTTTATCACTTTATACGGTTTGTGATTAAAATTCGCAGTTAGCTTGTTTTTCTTTTCTTGTCCAACCAGTACATAATCTCCAACTTGTAGATCACTTTTTCTTGTGTTTCTCCTTTGATTTGCATATTCTCGGTTGCGTTCTTGTCGTGTTTTCTCATTGTCTCGAGCTTCTTTATGTCGATTGACAATCTTCTTGCTGTTTATTACTGGTAATTTTCCTTTTATCACTCGGTTAAACAACAGTTCTGATGGAGGTACTCCTGTAGTGCAATGTGTAGTGGTACGATATTGTAAAAGAAAACGGTTCAATTCTTGTTTCCATGGTCGTCCTTCGAGTGTCGCTGTCTTGAGCGCTTTTCCTAACGGTCGCATAAATCGTTCAACTGTAGCATTACCTTGGGGCCCAGTAGGGTGTTGAAAACTTAGCTTGAATACCAAGGGCTTTCAGATATCGTGCATATTCGTCTCCGTTAAAAGGGGACCATTGTCAGATATAATGGTGTCAGGAATGCCATGGACTGAGAACATTTTGTCAAGTTTTGGAATGACTGTTGAGGCTCGTGTTGAATGAACGATCTCAACCTCTGGGAATCTGGAGTATCTATCTACCGCCACTAAAAGATATTCAGACGATGGTAGTGGACCATAAAAATCTATGTGGACAGTTCTCCATGGTAACTCTGGCATTTCGGTCATACGTAATGGTTCTGGAGGATTCGCCTGTCCGACAGCTTGACAAGTGGTGCACTTAGCAATTGTGTTTTTGACTTGGTTGTCAATTTGCGGAAACCAGATTTTTTCACGAGTTAGAGACTTCGTTTTCTCTATTCCTAAGTGTGTCTCATGTGCTATATCTATTGCACGTTGTTGTACAGTCACTTCGTTGTTTATCGCTTCAATAGAAACTGGGTCTTCTGTGCCTTCAGATTCATCACTAATCTGATCAACGATACCAGTTAAATATTCTATCATTTCCTTTTTAATGATTACTTCATTTACTTCGTCGTTTGTGTCCGGAATGACAATCCGTGTTCCTCGAAGTATAACACCGTGTGTGGTAGATGTAAGTTCGTTTTTTACGGCTTTGAACGGTTTTACAATTGGGGAATCCCATTTGTTTGTTTTAATTGCATCATGGAGTGCCGTTACTGCCACAGAATCAGAATCACATTTATTTCACACGTATTTAAACTAAGTAAGAATAACATACAGAAAATTTATATAGTTACAAAAATCAAAGCCCACATATTAAAACTGCTATATTAAACAAACGTGTACAGTGATCAAAATAGCGGAATGCTTTCGAGTTGATCACTGTATATATGTATCATATTATTATATAAAAGTATATGACGGCGACATAACAGAACTGTGTAGGTATTTATATTTGGGAATAAATAAGGAATTGACTATACCTATTTTTAAAAACAGAAACTGAATTTGACTCTTTTATATGGTAAGGAATTGTCTCCCAAATTTTTGATGAAATAAATCTGAAAGTAAAGATTCCATAATTTGTTCGAGCATTCGACCTAATAAAATTTTGTTTTTCAGCAAATCTAGTAGAATAAGAGTGCTGAGTAGATGCAGTAGAAATGATATTTGTAAGTATCCTAGGGATATTTTTATCTTCGTTTATAATTTTGTATGTAAATGTGGCTATTTTCAATTTAAAAGCGTTGTCTAGCTTTAGTATGGAAAGTAAATTCATGTATAATGTTGCACTTTCTTTTTTGGATGCAAAAAACATATTCTTTATACATTTATTTTGACATGTTCGTACTTTATTAAGCTTTGTTGCATAGGTGTTACCCCAACTCATCAGTCCATAATTAATGTATGGGTAAATTAGAGTGTAATATAAATGTTTAAGCATTTTCAAATCTAGGTAATATCTGAGTTTATTCATTATTCCAGTGTTTTTAGCAATTTTACTATTTACGTGTTTGATCTGATACTCCCAATTTAGATTATTATCAATATATATACCAAGATATTTAATAAAGTCTCTTTTAACAATGTTTTTAATCCGTATATTTCTAGCTTTCTTTTTTGAGTTAGTGATAACCATAATATTTGTCTTTTCCAAATTAATTGAAAGCTTATTTGTAGCACAGTAACGAAATATTTTTTCAATTTCTATATTCATAACGTTTTCAACTTCTTCAATATTTGTGTTTGAATAAAATACATTTGTGTCGTCTGCGAATATTCGGAATGAAAGTTTGCTACTACAATTAGGCATGTCATTTATATAAATTAAGAATAATAATGGTCCGAGAGTTGAACCTTGAGGAACTCCACAAGTCATTGTAAGCATTTCTGAATCACAATTACCAATCCGTACATACTGTTTCCTATTCATTAAATAACTCTTAAACCAATCCAACTGGGTCCCACGTACTCCATATTTGTCAAGTTTAGATAAGAGAATTTGATGATTGACAGTATCAAAGGCTTTCGAGAAATCCAAGAATAATCCACACGTTATTTCTTTTTTATCAATTGTAGTTTTTAAGGTATCTGTAATTTCAAGTATCGCTTGTTCTGTCGAATAACCTTTTCTAAATCCAAATTGATATTCAAAGAGTATGCCATTTTTAACAAGAAATAATTCTAGTTGATTATAAATAATTCTTTCCAGTATTTTTGAAAGAGCTGACAAGACTGATATTGGTCGATAGTTACTTGGATTTGTAATTGTACCAGATTTGTATATGGGTGTAACTCGTGAGATCTTTAGAATGTCTGGAACAATACCCGTAGTAATCGACTCATTATATATACTTGTAAACACGGGTGAGATTATTGGGGCTATCTTTTTTATCATTGCATTAGGAATATCAAAAGATGCTTTGGTACTGTCAAGTGTTAAAAACAGACTTAATACTTGAGTTTGTGTGATAGGTGACATGACAAAACTAGATACAGGAGAATTGCTAATGTAACTTGTTGGATTTTCATTAGTATTGGTTATTGTGTTAGCTAGGTTTGGACCTACATTAATAAAATGTTGATTGAACTGATTTGCTATATCATATTCCGAAGAGAACTCCGAACCATTATTAATTAGTCGTGATGGGTGATGTTGGCCTTTTTGTTTACGGCGTATGAGCGTACCTATAAGCTTCCAGGTATTTTTCAAACTATTTCTGTGTTTCTCAAATTGGGTATAATAATAATCTTTTTTAAGTATATTCTTTAACTTATTTAGTTTATTAGAATACGATTTATACATTTTAATTTTTGCTTCATTATTACTATAGAAATGAGTGCGATACATTTTTTGTTTCGTTTTAATCGATTTTAAAATTCCAGAGGTGATCCATGGTTTATTAAGTTGTCTCAATTTACTCTGTGATGCCTCTTTTATCGGAGCATGTTTGTTTGTTACTTCATTTATAACGTTAATTACATCCTGTGTGGTTTTATTTAAATTAGTATTTAAATTACAACATTTATCATTCCAATCGATTTGTCTCATATCATTTAAATATAACTCTGTATTAAAGTGCTCAAAATTTCTATAAAACTTTTTTTCTTTATTTCGTTTAATTGGAGTATTTATAATACAAAATATGGGTAGATGATCGGATATATCAAATAATGCTATTCCCGATGTTATTTGAGGAGTAAGTGTATTGGTATAAATATGATCAATTAGCGTTTTTGTGTGATTTGTTATTCTTGTGGGTTTAGTAATAAGGGGAGTGGTATTGTTAGTATACAACATATCTAAATATTTTTCAGTAGGTTGATGGTTCAAGTATTGAAGGAAATCAATATTTATATCTCCCAATATATAAAATTGATATTTGTGTTGATTTAATTGCTTAAGCAGTTCATTCAGTTGCTCTGTAAAAATTTCGATATTTGATTTTGGATGTCTATATACGCACCCTATAATGATGTTTTTTTCCTGATAACCAGGCTCAATTTCTACCCAGCATGATTCGACAAGATCCATAGAAAACTTAATGTCTGGTCTTTCAATAACTTTTAAACTATTGCAAACATAAATACCAGTTCTACCTGCCGCAGTCATCGAGTCAACATGAT